TGTAAAATTTTTATCATAAAATATATATTTATATTTATATATAATTTTGTTTTTTCATCAATTTTTTTATATATTAAATCTCTTTCATCTACGGATATTTTGGTTTTTGTGTAATGTTTCTTCTTCATGAGCTTTTCTTTGTGTCTTTATTTTAAAATAAAGCTTTCAGAGCTTTCATCTATTTATGAAATGTTTTAATCTCATTTCTCATGATTTTATGCTGATATGAATAGTCAATAAATAATCTGAATAAGATAAACAGCAAAAATAGATAGTTAGGTATATGTTTTCGGAGCGTAAAGAATACGAAGAATCAACAGGTATCCTTTCCTCTCGAATTCCAGAGGCTTCTCCAACATCAAAACCTTCAAAAGTCATTTCTATTCTTACAATAGACAAATCTAAAGCATTTACATTATTGTTAAGCTTTATGATAGATGCTTTTGAATGCTTCATGCTCGAAAGTATTTTAATAACCATTAACATAATTGAAGAATTCTTTTGAAAGTAAACAACAAATAGCTTTGGGATGATTTCAATAATTGTTATAACCGTCGTTTGAACAACAGACATAAATTTCTTATTCAATTGAATAATCTTCTTTTGACTTAAGTTTAAGCTTTAAGGTTTAAAGTAAGGACAATAAATTTATGTAATGAAGTTAAGACTTAAATATGTCAGGTATACAGTTTTTCATTCATTTATTTATTTTCGATGAGAGTTTGTAGTTGCAACGCCAAATTTCGTGCTGTTTTCAATACTTGAGGAACATTGTGGCGTTCAGCCATTTCTGTTAAAAATAGAATTAAATTAATTAAATGTATAATTAAAATTAAATTAACAAAGTCACCGTTGAAGAACTTGATTATATCAGTAAAGTCCATGCTGTTTGATAAGATGATGTCTCGATAATTTTCAAGCAAAGCCAAGGCTAGAAATAGCACAAAGTGACTTGAAGAAACGTGTTTGGCTGCCCAAATACATTCCCAAACAGCAAAGACGTCAGTATACAAAAGTTCTCGTTTAAAGTCCAACAAAAACCATCGGTAGCAGAAATAAAAATGTGTGTAGTCTCCATGGGCGTGCATCAAGTCGTACATTTCTGAATCAAGGATTTGAATGAGTGAACGCATATTGGCAAAATGCATGTCCATTGCACATCCATTAGGGAAGTTTTCAATCATTCGTTCCATTAATCGACAGAAACATCCATAACTTATCGACTCATCATCGAATATTACTAAAAGTGGAGCTAGAATATCGCACATGCCCTGCATGTATCCGATTTCTAAATGTTCATAAACATAACTAAAGATTTAAAATAACAAAAATTAAATTTCTTTTGAATTAATTAAATAAAGGAAACTCACGTTGTTATGACATTTCGTAACTTATCCAAGTTTTCATTGGCAAAATACCAATAATTTCGATCACATCGTTGAACATCTTTTTCAATTCGATGCAAGTTTAATCCAAATTGATCTAGAAGTTCACTCTGTTGAGATAACAAAAAATAGTTTAAAATGAAGTGAAGTTTAGGTACTCAAGTTCGTTCTAAGCTTACGCTATAAATTCCACCATTTGAACTTGCTGGTGAAACGCAAGCTGATTTCGGTTCCTGTAATGCATCCAAAGAATTTTGTGCCGAAGGCATTTTCTCTTCATGCAACGTTTCAAGATTAGTTTTGTCGTTGTTCTTCTCTTCATTAATCTCCATTGCCATCATGTTGACAACATCAATTGAAGCATCAGTAACGATTACTGCAGTTGGATTCAACTTCGGTGACATTGGACAGTCAACAAAGTCAGTTCCAACTGTTTCATAGGATGAAGTTGATGGAGAACTTTTCATACTTTCACCACCAGGTTGTGATGGTTCTAAATTGATAGTTTTAGGTTCATTTTTCACTTCCAAATCAAAATCCACTGGTAATGAGTCAACTTTCGGTATTTTCGTAGAATCTTTCTCATCATCTTCAACTTCCGGATCAGATAAATCTGAAAATCCATTTTCCTCAAACACTTCATTCTCCAATTGAACATCAATGTCTACACCATTCTTAACTTTTGAATCACTGGCACTTCCTCCTGAACTCAGTTTAGCAACGGCATGTGCAGTCTTTTCTTTATCCAATTGACGAACAATTGCTTCCACAGCCAACCATTCACTCATCGTTGTCTCATAGTAATGTCTCGTATTTTCATCAAGATCTGCACGTTCTTCTGGCGTCTGTCCGAATGTATAATGACCCAATAGATAAGGCCACACTTCCTTTCTTATTTCTTGTGCTACACCACCAAAGTAAACCAAACGATAAACTTCACTTTCCAGGTTGACGACTCCATTTTCATCATGCAAATCTTTCCAACGTTCTTCCGTGAGTCCACTTTCAGCTCCTATATCGGGCGTAATTCTTCCATTCACAAGACCAGATAAATGAGTTCTGACAGTCGACAGATGACGACAATAAGCGAGCCATCCATAAAATGCTCGAGATATTATTTGACGTTTCATTGTTGTGCATACCAATGCTATACTTGTCGTTTGATTTACTTGTGTCACCTTGAAAACAATTCAAAACTTTTTAAAATGTTCAATGAAATGTCAAATAAAACTTACGATTGGATTCTCAGCCAAGTCAAGTGAAATACTTTTACTAGAACAATCGCTACTTTCATTTGTCGAGCAACTGCTTAAATGTGGACGATAAGGTGATGTTCGTCCGACATCCATAATTGGATGTGTGGCAACTGAAACAGAAATTGATTTTTGATATGACAAATGTAAAGTTTAATTTGACTTACGAAATTCTTCAGGATTGCTTTTATTAACGACACGAAACACATAATCAATTGGCATCTCGTCATTGTTTTCTAAAACAGATGGAAGACCACCAACGCGTCGTCGGGATTTAACTGGCCATGGAAAGATTCTTCCGATGCCTTTTTGTGACCACAAAGGTGGATCCAATTGACCATGTGGCAATAAACCTGTTTCTAAACAACTTAAAAAGCTTGCCATATGACCGCCTTCAGGGAAATGAATCGGCGGTCGTTGAACTCCGTCATGTCCAACAAGGATGATCGTTCCACTGGTCTCTTCACTGCTTCGATTCTGATGACAATGCACATAAACAATATCATCAACATTGATATTAAGTACATAAGCCCAATAAAAGCTTTTATCAACATTGTCAGTTGAGCCAGCTGACGAAGGTAATGATTGATCATTGTATCCATTCATCAACTGATTTGGCGTCCATTTTATGATGAGATATTGAATTGATTGATGAAGAGATAAATAGCCTGGCATCGGTTCTGCAACATCCTTCTGCAATTTAAATTAGTTACAATTTTTTCTTTTTCTTTTTAATAAACTAATTAATTACCGGATGCACCAAGACATTATTCTTGCCGTAGAGCAAAGTCGCTCTTGAATTTTGATGAAGTGACTCGACATAGTCTTTTGCTGTCGATGCTGGTGAATTATTTTTATATGTGCTGATTCCAGAATCATCTGAACTTGTGTGCATTCTTTTGATGTTTAGCATGGGACGTCGTGAAGCTTGTGGAGTTGTTTGTGATGGAATGATGTGTCGTTGAACGAGTTCATTTGCTGATGGATCGGACCAGAAGTAATCTTGTGTCTTTGCTCTAGAATAATCTAAAGCACAAGGTCCAACTAGCAATGAACTGAGAATTGATCCATAATCGGGATCAGCAACGAGAGAATCCTTGTCGTAATAACGATTTGCATTTGACACCAAATGATCGATGATTCGAGCGAGTTTCTTCTCGTATAAAGCAATTCGAATCCACATGTATTTAAAAACTTGACCGCCAACATTTGGATTTGGTGATGTTGTTGATGTTCCACTAACTGAATTGCTGGAAGATTTTTTCGTTAAAATCGGTGGCTTGATTATGCTGTCACTTGATGATGAAGATCTTTTACTTGGATCGGCTGCTTCAATGTCTTGAACTTTCTTACTAACATAAGCAGCTTCTATGCAATTACTGCTGATTTTGTGTAAAAGTGCAGTCGTTGAACTCGTCTTGAAGAGTCCCAAAGCCCTTCGACGAAGGCCTTGACTCAAACAAGCTTCTACAGCGCCGCACAGTGAAACGACGGTTGAACTGTCTTCGTGAACAAACTTCTTCGTTACACTCTCCTCCATTATCTGTTTTACTTCTTTTTTTACGTTGGCAATCAACCGCTCCTTGAACTCACTGTCCGATGCTATGAAACAGAAAATGGAAATGTCACGAAAAGAGCAAGAAAATTAAGGATGAGAAGAAGATTTTCTTAGAAACCTTAATCAGAGACTTAATCGTATTATGCAAAATTATGCAAATGAAAATTCAATACATCGTAAAAGAAAATCTCTAGATGGAATGGGTGGAAAAAATATGGAAGCTTCGACGTGAAAGAAATTGACGGCATTGAATCAACATGTGGATTGAGATAAAAACTTCCTCAATTAATTAATTACCTTTACCTGATTGTCCCAACATTTTGAATCTCTCCAGAATCTTTACGGGATTTTAATGACTTCTCGCTGATGACCAGATGGAAAAAGTTTTTAAAAATGTTTAGGAAAAATTCTTTTAAATACACTTTAAGCAACCATTCATTCTTTAATCTTCCTTATCTCGATAACAAACATCGCCTAACACAAACAAATTTAAATTTCTTTAATAATTTTTAATGTGCAACAAAAGTTTCCACGAAAATTTTAAAAATTTTCACTCTACGCCCGTCTCCAGATTGCAACAAAAAATATCTAACATCGGATGGAGGAAAAATTTTGTTGATTTTGTGACAGTAAAAAATCAATTTTCCAACGATGAAAAATCGTTCCAACGATAATTAAATCGATGCGTGCGCAACCAGCTACCACGTGTTGCACAAGTTTTGTTGTCAAACATTTTCTGTTGATAAACACAAAACACAAGCAACATTAACTTAATGTTCTAGAATTATGGATTTTCCTGAATGAGGTTTTGAGACTTTTCATGTGGAATTTCCGTTTGATGTCAATATGTGCAATTGCAAGTGCAACATGCAGGTCATGTTTTTGTATCATATTTTTAGTATAAAAAGAATGAAAATTTCTTGATTGTTTATCAGTCTTGAAAAAATTCAAACTAAAAATGTTTCTTAAATTAATTTTGGTGAATTTTGTTGTAACTTTTGTAGTTGCACAACTTGGACAAAAGTGTTCGCTTAGCAGTGATCCTTTAAATCCAAATTCCATTCCAAATCCAACGAACTGTTCAAAGTTTTTTGCGTGTGGAAGTGGAATTTATGTCGGAATGGAATGTCCGGCTGGTCTTCATTTTAATGCTGTTAAAAAGGTTTGTGATTGGCCATCTTTAGCGGGATGTAGCTTCAAGATCAACGAACTCCAGGGAAATGCTATGAATGATGATGTTGACCAGTCATTTGTACCGTCGCCTGGTGAGAAATGTGTGCCATCACCGATCAGAAATAATCCAAGACTTGCGGGCTATTACAACGATTGCAGTAAATTTCTGATGTGTGCTGGCATTTGGATGTTGATGAGTTGTCCTCCTGGACTTTTCTTCAGTGTTGAAACTGGACGATGTGAATACAACATCAACACAAATTGTGCCTTCCCTTCAACGAAATGTCCAACAAATGGAATGAAATATGGAGACTCAACAGATTGTCACAAGTTCTTCATCTGCGTCAATGGAACAATCACAAATTCAGTTTGTGCTGATGGAAAGATTTACAATCCTTTAAAAGGTGAATGCGTCGTTGGTCCAAGTTGCAATCCATCAACACGTCAACCAATAAGCGAAAATCTTCCAAATTGTTCATTTGAAAGTGCTTTCTATCCAAACTATCAAGATTGCTCGAAATTCTTCATTTGTAATGGCGGATCACTCGTCGCACAATCTTGTCCACCAAATAAATTCTTCAGCGTTCAACACAGCAACTGTCAACTAAAAGAAAATGCAGTTTGTGCTGGTGGAAAACGTAAAATTGTTAAACAATAAAACTTTATTGTGAGGAATCTAAAAATAGCTTGAAAAGAGGTTCACTTTGTTATATTTATCAATTCAATTATCTTATCTCTTTTTATAACTTATGCAATCAAAAGAAACAATGAAAATCCATTAAGTTTTATCTTAGAAAGTTCATCATCATCATCTTTATTATCTTGAATTTTCGTTTGAAGTTTACATTGAAAGTATTATTATAAGTAAATAAATTTTAATGCATTCAACTTATGATATATCGTAGTAAAACATTGCTGAAGCAAAACAAGCAGCGATGATTCATTCTCCTTTACTTTTTGTTGATTTCTTACTTAATCAAATAAATTTGTGCTTGATTGATACAAAGATGAGTTTCAATTTTTAATCTTACATAAATTTTTAAAAAGAAAGATTCAGTTTTGACAGCAGTTCACATTTACGTGAATTTGTATTGAATTATTCAAGTTAATAATACGAGGATTCAAGTGGAGGACAGAAAGGTTTCGGTTCTTGAAAGGTGCGTGGGAAGATGAAAATGTTTTTATGAGACGTTAAAATTAATGAATCAAATTTTGAAGCGTTCTAATCGTATCTGTAATGGGAATGGGAAAAAAAAAGTTTTTGTTAGTCACAACAAAACATTTTAAGCATGAAATTAAAAGCATTAAATCACAAGAAATTGCTTATGATTTAATTTAAAATCTTGGGAATGGTTCACAAGTGATGTAAACGACTTGATGATTTAAATTATTCTAAAATATTAAAAATTTTTATTTGTTGATTAAATTTTGCTATCGAAATTTATGAATATTTTTTTTCTTCGAATTTGCGTGTGTGTAAGTGAGACAATTTGCGTTTCCCATGAACCATCCACAAAAACAAAATTGCCGAAAAAACAACAAAAAAATTAGAAAGACAACCTGGAGCTATTTCGAATGTTGGAGCTCAAGCAACAGCCAAAGATGACACCGACAAGCTAAAAAAAAATAAAAGAAAAGAGAAAGTCTCTAATTTATGTTTCGTGGCGATTTAACTTTCACATTTACCTCAATAACGGCCATGACAAGCGACAAATATGCGATCCATGCAGAATAGTTTTCGGTAATGTTTCTAATTTGTTGTTTACAACCAATGCGATATGAGTAAAGCTCATTGCAGACTTGTGAATTTGGATCGCAACACGATCTGGGAATGGCAAGTCCCCAATCAAGGGGATATTGACTGCCACAACAATGAATTGTTTCTTGGACTTTATCGATTGTACGTCTGTTGATTTCAGCGACTGAACGACCACCCCAAATACGATCCCACCCTTTCATTGCAGTTTCTTGAACATCTCTGTTGTAAACAATAACGTAAATTGAGAGAAGCACTTGAAGAACGATAACAATAAGCAAGCAAAGTGCGTAGAGATTCAAAAGACATTCTGTAAACATTTTAAAATTTGTTAATGAGATTCGCAAATATTTTCAAATATTTCAATCTTCTTACGTGATTCGCGAATGGCTCCGCAACAACCAAAGAATGCAATGATAAAGATTAAGGCACCCAAAGCAATGATCGCTGCTGGGAAGAATCCAGGATGATCTCCATCATTGAAGACATCTTTGACTTCGTCAATTTTCTTCAAAGCAATGCCACCAACAGCCATTAATGCAATGCCTCCAATCTAAAAGAAAAACAAATATATGTGAATGACATAATCATTCAATGATCGCATAAAATTCCCGAAGTATAAATTACAAATCGATAACATCCATTAGCTTTAAATATCTTGCATGTCCCGGAAGAAATCACGCGATTGAGTTGATAGTTACAAACAAAAATGAAAGCATAAATCATATTTTCTCTCTATGTTTACATGCTTACAAACAAATTTATGTGTAATGATAATTTGAATCGGACATGACATCATGAAGAGCGGAAATTAAAATCTGCTTGTAATGTTCAGGATTTGATTTCATGTTGATACATTTATTTCGACATTCATTCGTCAATAAAGCATTTAAAAAAGTTAAAAGTTGCAAATTTTTTCTTCTTCGAATTTCGCTTTTGCTGTCAATTTTTTTCTTCTTTTCAACTTGAAATCATAAAAGTTGCTAATTATAAAGTAAAATATGCAAATTAAGATAAACTGAATATGAAAGTTTCTCGCAAGCAGAAAATTATTGCTGAGAATAAAAAATAATACACGAATGGAAGGAAGTCACAACATTTGCAAAATACAAACGATTTCTGATAATAATGAAGCTTTTATTCACAATCGTTATTTATCATAACTTCACAACTAATATCTGTGTGTTTATAATACAATCGAATGCTGTCAATATTCATGGAAAATATTTTTACAGCAGTGAATATAACAAAGTAAAACATTCGGTGACTAAAGGATTCATGAATCAGACAGAATAGAATGAGATTTCTACTCGAATGTGTAAATATTTACATATTAAACGTCAATTAGTCCTACCCTGAAGTATGATTAGTCATGAAATGTATCGCGTCTTAATATTGATTTAGCAAGTAAACATTCAATAATTATTGAAACAAATGATCACGTTCTTAAATCATTAATAATTCATTATGAGAACTCAATTCAAACCATAATTATATTCACCACAAACCAACGCACTGAATTAAATTACGCAACAAGTTGCGATGCTTTGAAATCTCACCGAAAATGTTTGTTTACCATGGAAAAGTTCAAATCCAAAAGAAAACAAAAGCAAGTCATTAACGCAGCGAAACGCAACGCTACGATTGTTAATCATCCAACCGTTTAACCCTCGGAAACAATATTGAATCATTGTGAAGGAATCACTGCCATGCAAACTTCTGTTATCAAACGACATTATTGTTTCATACCCAGTAAGACTCATCAAAGGCGACGACGCACAAAAATAGTTTTGTTTGTTAGAAAATTGTGTTGAATATTAAAAAGTTAAAAATTCCCACAAGCATTCGTTGTTGGACGTTCCATTGTCGTCTCTCATGTCATAATTTTATTTCTTTCTTCTCTTTGATGTAAGCAAATGAATGCTTTCATGAATTGAATCTTTCAATTGAGCAATTCATGACTTTCGACCATAAAAAAAATATTAACATGTCAGTCAGTCACTCAGTCAGTCCTCGTGTTAGTTTTTTCACCATTTCTTCTCAAATATGAACTTCAAGGTTTTTATTGTCTTTAAACAAATTTTAATTATTAAAAGCATTGAAAAGGAGAGAGAGAGATGGAAAGTGACTGATTTAGAATAATTGATTAAAAAGTGAAACATTATAGTTTTTCAAGGAAAGCATAATGTTTCTGTTGACATTGAAAGTCACGAACAAGTTCATGTAGAAATATTCATAAGTAAAGTGCAGTTTGATTTCAATCTTACTTCCCATCGACTTTTCTCAGTCACAATCGACGTCATCTGTTTCTATACATTTGCTTGTAGGCGGAATATTCAGCAAGTTCTATTCAAATATTTGATACAAAGTAAGGTAGGTTTCAATGTTAATAATCAACACGTGACTGAACATCTCTTAAAATTCTTCTCATTATTCAAGTTTCTAAGTAGATTCAGAAAATAAACATCTTGAATCAAATATTAATACATTAAGCATACATTGGTATCAGTTTTGATCATGTCTTATAAATATCGCTTCCCCAATGCTTTAATGGCTTTCAAGCACCAGTGTGGTCTGATGCTTACCGCAAAACTTGATGTCGAAAACAAACACACAATTCAAGGTCAGAACAAGCAATTGCCTTTAGCGTCGCGCACTCATTGTTTACTGTGTGTAGCAAATCATGACATCACAAGCTTAATGTAGTTACTTAAGCTGATTTAAAAATTAGCGCTTTGCAAGCGGGTCACGCCGGTTTAATTGAAAATAAGATCTTTTAAAAGTCAGAATTTAAAAATAAATGTTTTGTCAACTTCGCGAATGATCATCAAATTCGTCGTTAAATGAATCACCACACGGATTTCACAATCTACACTTGGGATTTCTTATTTAGCCACTGAATAAATTAATTAATGAGAGACAATAAATTCCTTAAGGAAAATGAACTCGTCAACAAGTTGCTTCATGCAATTAATTTGGGGCTAAATATATTAATATAGCAACTCATACATCACTCATTGGGTGTGTTTGGAATGCTTTTCTATATCGTGCTAACGTGCTTTTTGATGGCGTTTCAGTTATTACAAAGAGAGCTTATTACTCCCAAGGAATTTACGCGAAAAATAGTAAAAAGTAGTTTCTCGTTGATCAAAAACATGAAAAACTTTAGTTTTCAATTAGTTTAAAAGGCCCAACCCAAAAAAATGAAGTTTTTTATGTTTTTTATTTTATTTTATTTCTCACCCATCTTCATCAAGTTTGTTTTGTGTTATTTCTTTCGTTGTTTTTAAAAAAGATTTTTTTGTATTCTTTTGTTTGGCTTTTGAGAGAATCTTTGCATTCGCGGTTTTTTTTTTCAGAATCAACTCAGTTTAAAAAGATGAAAAACTTGTTTCAGAAAGATTAAAGTGTGTTGAGTGAGTAAAGGTACACGAATGACATCATTGAGATTTCTGAAACTGAGACTTATCTATTTAATGTTGAACTTCGCTGATCTTGAGGTTTGTTGGAAATTTCCAGTGAAAATTTGATTCATTGGATTTCATTTATAAGCCTTGTAAAAAGTATTTAAGTCATTTAGATTTGTGATGCCAGATCAACAAAATTCGCCATAGTTGGATACACACAGCAATAACACAGAGTTAAATAACTCTTAAAGGTTTAAAACTTACGGCGCAGATGAGGTTGAACACAAACAACACATATTTGATGAGACTTGCTCCACAATTTAATCCCATTTTCTCACGAGTGTGTGCTACTTTGCCTCCTATATATATTTATATTCTTTATGCAAATATGAATAAACTACACGAATTGTCTTTTTCAGCGAGCGCGAAGTGATAAACGTCCAACAAGTTCGATATTTAAAACTCGAATGAAATTCCATGCAGAAAACATGAAGCTTGACTTCAACTTTTTGTTTTTCTCTCTTCTTAATTTCTCTCATTAGCAATTCTCTCTTTTTCCTCTCATGAAGCTTCTCTCATGATCTTCAAAAACTTGTTCACGTTTGATAATTGCTTTCAAAACACAAAAAAAGTATTTAATGATAAGAAAGTATTTTTATTTTGTCCACCTACACACTTTTCAATACAGGAAAAAATTTCTATTTCAACATTTCGTATTTGCAGCTAAGTGAAAAGAGAAAATAATTTGAAACTATCCGAAACAACATCTTCGTATTGCTTGAACTTTTCTTATGTAACCACTTAAAATAAATCCCATAATAGCTCCTAAAAGTTCAATGATTCCAGCTCCCAAACATAAATAAGATATCGTTTGAGCTGAAGATTTGATAGAGTCTTCCAATTGCATTTTGCATCCAACATAGAAAGTTTGTTCACGTGTACAGAAATCGACACCACGTTTGCAGCATGATTTTGGAATTTTGTCCAAACTGTAGTTTAAAAAGCTGTTTGATCCACAACACTCCAAATTTTCCTGAATCATATCCACCATTACACGACTGTCTCTCGATGTACCTCTTGAACGCCACATGCGACTGAAACTTCTTACTGACTCTTTTTGAACATCATCAACAAACAAAAAGATGAAACAGGCAAGCATTACTTGAAACATGACAAGTAAAAGTAAACAAATCGAATATGTTTCCAATAGACAGACGTGTGATTGAATTGCGCCACAGCATCCCAAAAATGATATGAAAAAGATGAAAACTCCAAGGAATATGACAATTGTCGGAATAAGATCAGAAAGATAATCAGTTGGTAAAACATTCTTAAGATCTGTAACCTTTGCTAAAGCCAAACCTCCGTGAACTATCAGCACAATACCGACAATCTAGAAAGAAGCGAAAAATGTTAGAAACAATGTACGGTAAAGAAGGAAGCAATCACAAAGCGTGAAGATCGCTGAATGATTTAAAAGACAATCACTTGATTATTTATCACAAAATAATAATAAATCACAGAAATTCTTTTTTAACAAGATTTATGTTTAGATGTTGATCTAGATAATTAGAATAAATAATTTTGATTTTGTTTTGAATAGTACTTAGAACAATATTCTAAGCTTATCAATGCCTAACACCTTTCATATAAATTTTATTTAAAGAATTATTTTAAATACTCACTGCACATAAAAGGTTTAGGATGAATAAGAAATATTTTATGATTCCTTTAGCACATTTATGGGACATACTTTATTTATGTTTACGAAACTTGTTTACTTTTAACAGTTAAATAACAAAAATCGACTTTTATTATGCAATACTGATTCCTTCAAAAGTTGAAGCACAACTGACGATAAATATGATGGCAGAGTAGACTTGTGAATTTTTAATGGCAATTAAATTAAAAATTACAAAATCTGCTGAGATACCCTCATACGTAATTATTAATAAAAAGTAAGGGATCTGTTAATTAATCAGAGGAATGTTTGTACTTTAATATAAGACACCGATTCGAAAGTACATCATAATTTTTGTTTTCTTTCTTGAGCATAATTATAATCCCCAACTACATATACCGTATATAAAAGCTCTTAAAAGTGTTTTGCACAAATATTTCTGGTCATTGTCAAGGTAAAACATAAGGAAACAAATCAGTTTTAATTAATGTACCGAAAATATTTTAAAGTTAAATGCTTCCGAATTTGAAATTTTAATGCACCTTAAAAATCCCAAAAAGATTTTTAACGATTTTTCCCGCAAATTTCAAATTTGAAAATGGGGAAAAATTTAGTTGACTCAAGTTTGTCCGTCTGCTACAATATTTGTTTTGCTTTTTCATCTTCAAAGAGAAATAAGAAATCTCGAACAGAGAAATGAAATTTATAATAAAAAAAAGTTTATTTATCATCTTATTAGTGATTGTTTCCGAATCTATTGCTGAAGAATGTTCATTACAAAATACTTGTGAATGTGGTAAGAATAAATACAGAGAAATTAACTTTCTACGCTTAATTTTTCTTTTTGTTTGATTTCATCCGAAGCTTACATTCTGAAAATGATTATGAATCATCGCTTATCTTACAAAGTTGTGTTTATAATAAGATTAAATATTCGTTTTAGTGTATTCAGATGGATCAGGCTACAGTCTCAAATCTGTGATTGAAGACGACTCTTGGCTTGAAGCTATAACAAACCAAAACTTAACATTTTACTATCATCCGTGTGGTGATTCCAAAAAGCCTCTTCCTCTTCCTGACAATGTTACAAATGATTGTAAATCCGGATTTGTGCTTTGTATGTACGACATAAACAATAACAAAACAGTTCTTCTGGGACAGCAAAGTAACATGAGTTTCAGAAAATTTGGTGACACTATGAATGTGTTATTCACAAAGCAACCAACAACATCAGAAGAAAAGGAATCCTCGATTACACTCGAGTGCACTCCGAATGCCAAAACATCAAATCTTTATGCACCTTTAGAAAAAATTGATCAAGTTGTAAGGAACAATTAGGATTTTTTTTTTCAATTGAATTAATTTAATTTATTTTTAGCATTTGACATTGTACAGCAAATTCTCATGTCCCATGCAAATCAAAGAAATAACTCATCATGGATTTTTCTACACATTTTTCGTCATTCTTTTAACATTGCTTTTTGTGTATCTTTTTATTGGCATTCTCTTCAATTATTTCTTCATTGGTGCTCGTGGCTATGAACTCATCCCAAATTACGACTTTTGGTGTCGCGTTTGGCGATCATTAAAATTAGGATACATTTACGTAAAAAATGGTTGTCGAGTGATTCCCACTGAAGACAGTTACGATGCCATATAAACAAAATTGATTCAACTTATTCGAACAGCACCAAGGAAAGTGAACCAATTTACTTATGAAACTTCCCAGCAGTCGCCTCGAGAGAATCTTATCGCACCAAACTTCACTTAATTCTCTCCCTCTCTCTATCTTTATATTGATAAATATATTTATTTGTTTGTTGTTGATCAAAAGGCTGAGTTTTAAATAAAAAAATTTAACAAATATTTTAAGAGAATTTCTTTTAAAAAAACTTTTATAAAATTGAATACTTTTTATTATTTCAAATTACATATTGTGCATTTCAATTATAAATTTTAATATTAACAAAGATTCATAAATGACAATTGCTTGTTGTATTTTTCCAATTCTTCAACAGAAAGTTCAGAATGTTTCTTCAAATGTACTTTCATGTGATATTTTCTTCCACTTGCAAACTTGCAGCCATTTCCAACTGGACATTTTTCCTTGATTTTCTTGTGCCAAGTGAAAATGTGTAGATTCAAATTCCTCTTTCCAACATAAAAGTTGTCGCAACTATCATAAGGACATTCAAATCTCAACTCCTTCGAATGAACATTTCTATGTAACGCCATAGATTTTTTATGTTTAAACATCTTTTCACAATCTGGATAATCACATTGAAACATCTTTTCACTATGTGAAGCGTGATGGGTTTTCAGCGTCGTTTGAGAGTAAAAATTTTTTCCACATAAATAGCACGAATATGATTTAAATTTCGTATGATGAGCAAACAAATGCCTTTTAATGTAATTTTTGTTGTCAAAAGATTTTTCACAGTGATCACATTGAAAGTTCTTGATTTTGAATTCATTTGGAACGTGCACTTGCATGTGAGATCGAAGTATCGCCTTGTTGAAACATTCGCGGCCACAAATGTCACACTGTTGGGATTTATTTTTCTTGTGAACAATTTTTATATGAGCAGAATAGCTCTGTTGACTTTTCAGAAGCTTTCCACAAATCTGACAGACGCAATATTCACAATCCTCTTGTGTTTTCTTATTATTTAAAACCAGATGTTTATATTTATTGATCGTACGGTCAACAGTGGTTCGGGCCACTCCAACAAGCTTTGCAATCTTCCCAGGAAGAAAAGCAGGATTTTTTAAATATAAATCAACGATTCTCTGACGATTCGCATTGCCAGGAAATATTATCGAGGGATCATCCGTTTGTCTATTGACAGAAGCAGAAATAATTTCATTCTGTTTTAATTTATATCTTCGAATCGTACGGTCAACAGTTGTTCGGGCTACTCCAACAAGCTGTGCAATCTTTCCACGACCAAAAGAAGGATTTTTAAAGTATAATTCAACGATTCTCCGACGATTTGCATAGAAAGGAAAAATTTCCGATGGGTCAACAATTTGTTCATTCTCAGAGGCAGAATTAATCGCATTCTGGATAATGTTGTCAGATTCACTTACATCAGGTGATGGCTCTGATGTGGCTTCTTCCTCCAATGAATGAACGTCTAAATGACATTCTGAAGACAGATTCGTAGTTGGTGATGATAGAAGAACTGAAGGAACTTCTTCTGTTTCCGTTTTAATAAAAATGGTTTTGGAATCGTTCCTAGAATTTGATTCACCAAAATTGTTTAAATCCTTAATGGAATTCAAAAAGTTCGTCAAGTAAAGCTGTTTCTTTCTCATCTCTATTTTAAAGCGATGAAAACTTATGATGTTGAAGTTGCAACTTTCACAAAGAAAATCAGAAGTTTTTGATGTGGAAGTCAGCTCAATTTGTAGGATATCAGTGATTAAATTCATAAAATGGTTGTTCAATTTTATTTGATCATATTCTGATTGTACAGAATTGAAACATAATCGACATTTCTTTAAAAGATTTCCTTCAGTGAAATCTGCAAAAATATCTTTAATGTTAACCGAGATATTTGAAGTTATCACAGACGAAAACATTTTTAATAAATATATTTTTCTTTTATAGAATATAAGTATGATTAAGTCTATCTTCTTGTTAATTTTAAACTTATTTCTTTTGGATTTTTTGTTTTGTAAACAAAGCAGCACGTTTGCCATCTGGCGAGCAATTCGGTTATCATTTTAATTTTGAAAAGTATGTCAGAAATTTTTTCAGGTGGAGAGTGTTTACGTTCGGACAGAAATCTTACGCGCAGCCACCCGGCTCGAGTCACTTTGTATGGACACTAACACTTTTAAACTTAGTCATGAAGTTAGCTGCGCTTAATAACAAGTTATTCTGTAAAAAAAATATCTTCAGAGATCTTACGCAACTTTTGAATGAATCTTTAACAAAATGTGAACTGAACGCATCCTTAATAAAAATCACGTAATTTTTTCTGTCGCTAATTTTCCGGAAGAACAATATTATTTCAATGGGTTATATTTTAAGAGTGGTGCTAATTCATTAACAGCAAAGTGTTAACTATAATGAAATAAAAGATTCCTTTGTAAAGTGAAATTCAAGTTGCTGTTTTGATAAAAATTTCTTTTGTTTTGATTATTTCTCCGAAAATTGATTTCTTCATCGTAAAAATCAAAATTATAAGTGTTTTTTTGTAAAGTATTCAGTTTTAAAGATGGCTAAGTACTACGAAAATTCCACAGTTTTCAATTATAATTATGAGCAAGTGTTACAAGGATTCTGGAAGCGATATCCGAATCCTTACTCGACTCATGTGCTATCTGAAGACACAATACAAAGAGAAATTCGAGATGACGGCAAATTGTACAGCAAACGTATCTTAACAAAAACAAACCGAGTACCAAAATGGGGCGAACGATTCTTCAAAGCAAAGTTTGTGTGCATCGTAGAAGAGTCGCTTGTCGATCCAAAAGCAAAAACACTGACGACCCACACTCGAAATATCGGATTTAATAGAATTATGGTTCGTTTCGTAATCTCTTTTGTCCTTGAATTTTCTTATCAATAATTATATCAAAAAAATATTCCAGAGCGTCACCGAGAGAGTTGTTTATCAAGCAGATCATCATGGTAAAACAATTGCAAACCGTTCAGCATGGATTGACTCACAAGTGTTCGGTTTTGCAACTCCTATCCGAGCTTTTGGTTGTGAAAGATTTAAGAAAAACTGCCAGAAATCAGTAAGTCTTCCTTTTTTGTCATTCTCGTTGTTTCATTGAAATAATAAAAATTTTCTTTCAGAATCTCGGCTTCAATTACATTCTGGGAATTTTATTTCCATTACAAAATCCTAACAGTAGTCTGCATCAACAAGATGTGACACAGAAGTTTAAAGACGTAGCAAAAACAGCGGGCGAACATATGAAAGAGCAAATTTACCAAGCATCACACTACAATGTCAGTCAGAATTAAGAAATGTTGGTGTTGATGGCAATTGAATGAGACTAATGATGTTATTTAGCTTTTAAGAAATTTTTCCTCATCTCAATTCTTTCGATTCTTTTTCTTCTTCTTTCAAAAATTATTCTTCAATTTCAAATTTGTTTTCTTTTCATTTAAAAAGTACAAATCGGAAGAAAAATTTCCAACAGGGAAATAAGTTTTCAAATAAGAAACAACATTGCTTAGATATATTAAGTATTATGGTCAACATTAATGGGAATCAAAAAAAGAAAAGTGTTTTAATGTCAAGTTTCTTTCTCTCGCGTCATTCCAAGAAACTTCCTTTTTTATCCACAATTAATTGTAATTTGTGAGACTTCATTTGTCACATCAACATTATTCTTATTCAAGTTCTTGACAATTCATTAGCTTTGAGATGAATGAACGACCGCAACCCAAAAAACTTATTAAATCGAAAACAATTAAAAGAAAAACTGTTTTTCTTCTCTACTAGAAATATCAAAGTTCGTGAATAAGAAAATGTAGAAGAAAATAAAAAAAGAACTAAAATTATGCAATGAAAGTGTGTTTGTATAAAGCGTTGCACAACAAGAAATGATGTCAAGTTCGATGATGAAAAGAATCTTCTTAAAAACGTTTTTCTTTATTAATTAAATAGATGGAAGTGAACTTTTTCTAAACTATAATTAAAATTTCTTTAATCCTAGAAATAAAATGTTTTTCATTGATATTTAAAGGAAAAAAAAACATATTAAGTAGGCAGAAAAAGTGAGATAAGGTGAACAATATGAAAAATGGAATAAAATTCGTAAAATAATCACGAAATAAATTTACAACTTCAATGAGTCAATCCATGACATTTTACTTAATTTTAATGATTTTCCTTCTTCAATTTTCACTTTAAGTCGACTGTCTCTGCCATCGTGATTAATCTTAAAAGAGTTTGGATTGAATTGACAAACAATCAACTCATTAATGGAATTCTCAATCGCACAATGTGATGACAGTTTAAAATCAGTTTCCTTTATAATTTTTTCTGATAATCCCAACTTGATCTCTGCGTGTGCGTTCGTTGTACTGATATTGCTATCACCATAAAGCTCTGACAATTGAATTTCCACATCATCATTATCTAAAACAGCTTGAAGTGTCCCAGAAAAGCCTGAAAGTTTGAACTTGCCACCACTTGATTGGATTGTTGAATTTGCATGGAGATTCTTGAGAATTGCTTCTCTTGTCGATTTAAACTTGTTGCTTGTACTGTAACAGCTGTCCACAACCACATTAGTACCTTCAACTTCCAGATTATCACCTTGTGATTTTTCGATTGAAATATTCTAAAAATAATTTAACATTCAGATTGAGTTTTTATAGGAAAATTCATCATTTTCAGCTTGCCCCATTTTTCGAAACCAATTGAATAATTTTTCCCAGCAAAATGCTTTGTGTCTTGATATCACCACGTTCTGTCAGAGCTCTAATTGATTCACTTTTTAGATTCTTTAATCCCACATGCCCTTCATCAAGTTTAACATCAACTGCTTTGGCTTGTAAATTCCCAACTTGAACATTCGCACATCCAGCAATAATTTCAATGCAAACATCAGGAGAAGATTCCACAGGAAGCTCCAATATCAAAGAGAGCTCATGTCTACCATCAAAATCAAGCTTGAATGCGTCTTTTGTGTTAAGTACTTTAAATGAATCGACTTTGGAAGCTTCAATTTCTTTTTGTTGTGCATCACAAAGAGTGAATTTGACTTTGTTGTCAGAAGTTTCCATAAAATCTCTCGATTTCACATGAATTGATGTCAACGACTGCACATTTATACTAACACTCGACACATATCTTCGAAAGACATTTTGCAATACATTACTATTCGATAAAAATTGTCTTAGTTTCATTATTGAAAAATTTTCTTTTCTTTGCAAATCGCAACTTTTTTGCAGTAGAAAAAATTCTCTTTCAAGGTTATGGTGGACAAAGAAAAAAGTTTATGACAATTGTAATCAACTTTATTTACAAGAAAATATTTACTAATCTATAACATAATTAAAATTCATTTAGAGAATTTATTAAAATTTTTATTTTTGACTGTCCATAAGATCTTTCGCTTCGTTAATCTTCGCTGCTAAATATGGCGATCCACCACGATCTGGATGATTTAAAAGCATTATTCTCTTATGAGCATCTTTGATCTTTATTTTAGAGGCTGAAGGACTAACACCTAGTATCAATGAAGCTTCTCTTTTATTCATTTTGGGATCAAAACCACCACGATAATATTTGGAAGATGCTAAAGATTCTGAATCAAATTTCGGAAGGTTTCTCATTGCTTCAGCCATTTTTGACGAGGCATTGGGCATCTGTCGCATTAAGTAACGTCCTCCGAATCCTATTGCAGCAGCTGTAAGTCCAGCTAGAATTATTCCCCCGGTCTAAAATATTTTTATCATTTATTTCATTTATTTTCATTGAAATTACGAAATCGATTGTAATTTCATCAGAAGAAAAAATATTGCACAAGATTTTTCTACCTACCATTATAGTTTTCGTGTCTCTACTTAATTAATTTGTTAATTCCTTGAATCTAGGAAATAATGATGCAGAAATTGAATAAATTGAAAAAAATTATTTTGAAGGTGCGGTCATGTTATTTTTAAATATGTATTGTAAACAAAACTCAAGTTAGTCATGTTCCCTTTTAGGGGTGTTCAAGTTTATCGTCACGTTCCACATCAGGTGAAATTGTACAAATCAACAAATATTAAGTTTTGTTCGTATATTTCAACTTTTGCAGACGTTAAGTCAAATTAAGGGAGTCAGGTGAGTTAAATTTAATTTAATTTATAATTTTTTATAACTGTCATCATTAGTTACATTTTATTTCACCGTATTTCAAATAAAAACTTGTTATTAAACCTGTTGATCACCGCGCTGACGTTGGCACTTTAGCAAGCATTCCAAATCATTCCAAATGGCAAGAAATCGTGTAAATAATGAAAAGCTTAGTCGAAAAGAGAAGCAAGAGATGAGGAAGGAGAGTGCAAAAATGAACGAACAGATTAAAACTGTAGGTTGAAAATCAAAGACAATTGTCAGATTCAATGATGATGAATCGATGTTCTCATGTTTCAGATAGTACTGCCGACTCTGGGAGTCGTATTCCTTCTAATATGGGCTTTCGTGTACATGAAAACTCGTGGTATTCCAATAACAATTCCCCCTCCAGAGGATGATTAAATCATAAGAAGTGCCAGATATCGGTAAATGCTGGGACCACATTTCATAATTTGTATTTGGCACCGAGAAAGTTCCACCATAATCCTTTTATCAATGTTTTTTAATTAAAAATTCTTTCGTTATTTTGTATTGAGAAAAAAGTGCTACGCACAATAAAACAACAATTTGATATATTTCTGTGTAATTTTCAAGAAATTTTTATTTTTGTCTCTTTTTTTATAATTTTTTCTTTCTTTAACTAATTTTCCTTTCTTATGTACAAAAAAGTTGTGATTTAAGAAAAGAAGGATTTTTCATTATTGATATTCACATGATTCATTATATTCAACGGGATTCGCATTAATTATTTATTCTCTGATAATTTTTCTCTTATAATTTTTGGTTCCAAACATTTTCTGTACTTCAATTTATTTTTTATATTTATTGAAATATAATTTAAATGGCAAATGACTTAATTTTTTTCCTTTTAAAACTTTTCCTTTCGAATTGAGAATTAAACTCAGATTTTCCATAAAATTTTTACTGTATTTTTCATTTCATTGGATTTCCCTGTAACACTAAAATTTTAAATTATTTTTTTCTTTTGTATATTTTTCATGAGACTCTCGTTATGTTTGTTTGTTTTATTACTGGAAAAGAAGATGGAAAAACCATAATGTCTGTTATGACGTGACAATTGGCAGTTGTTATTCTGGTGGATTCTGTTTCTATCATCATTTGAAAGTCTTATCATAAATTTTACTTTGTATGAGAGCTTTTGATCCTTTACGAATGAGGTCAACTCACAATCATGATAGAAAACTTAATAACTCGCCAATCTACACTTCATAGGCATTGAAAATCTTCCTGAAGAGTTCCTGTTTGTGACATAAAATATTTTCTTCATTATTTATCGTCTAATTAATCTTCTTTTTTTTCTGGCACTATTTAAAAATGATATTTGTTATTACTTTCGTCTAATAGGCTTCTTGTCATCATCCTCAAATATCTATTCATGTTTTTGTATTCATTTGTGCTTATCATCAGAACAGTCTAATTATTTTCTCTTTTCGCTTTTTAAAAACTTAAACAATTAGACAGTTAAAAGGACAATGATTTGAGTTCTACATTAATTATTAATTAATTTCATTTCAATTCATTTTGTTTTGATATTAAAATATTCTACAACAATCATACAAATAAAAACTGGACACTTTCAGGTGCTTCCCAAGTTCATCATCAAATCGGCTTTTCTCTTTCAATTGTCTTTCAACATCACCGATCGACATCAAAGATCGTCTTCGTTCAGTACAAAAAATTTCTTTTTCTCACTTTGTCTTATCGAAAGAGATTATTTAATTTAGTGATATATAATTAACCATTTAATTATTTCGTCATATATTTATATAAATTATTTCATGCATTCACACGTCATTCACTTACACACACCCACACGCACATTCACAACATTAATTTACAAAAATCAAAAGGAATTTTTCATAAGGAAAAAAAACTTTTTCAAAAATAATCACAGCAAATCAGCAACAGCGCCACTAATGGATCCTCCAAACCACGCCATAACGATGGGTAGGAAGTAAGTGAAGATAAGTCGTTTCGTCCTCCAAGATGACGTTGATAATGTTGACGACGAACCTGACGATGGATTCGTCTCTCGACTATGTTCTGTTATATCGGAATCACCATCAGAACTTGAATTATGATCGAGATCGATGTTATTCCTTGTCACTTCATGTACGTTAACATGACGAGTACCAGTGTCAATTGGATTATGTGGAGGAATGATTTCTGGTTCAATCTCTCCTGAATATGATCCAAGACCTGAAGAAATCAAATTTAAAGTTATTAACAAATCTTCATTAAATAAATTTTGTGTATATTTACCGGAACCTTCTTCAGTGTCGTCATCGATGAGTCCACTGCCAGATCCACTTCCTGACTCGTAACTATCTTCGGTATCCTCTGAAAAATTCAAAATTTAATTTAATTAAATCTCATATTTTCATTAATTTATTTATCTCTCACCTGTATCAGACCACTCAATGTCATTTCCATTGTAAGCATTCTTCAAGTGGTTGATAGTCGTTTTGAGAATGTGCACTTGTTGCGTTACAATTTGGTTTTGCCGCGTGTTGGGATTCAACTGAACATCTGATGGTTTTATAGCTGGGATGTATCTGATGAAATCAAAGCATTAAATTATCATCTCATAAATATATTAAAGTTTATTAATTTTACCTGTTGATACTTTGACCATTCCAACAGCGGTCGCTGTTTCCAGCAGCTGCAAAGTCATCGCTATTACAAGCTGTGTAAGGAAGATTTGACCAAAACTTTTTGGTGTCTTTGACCTTTTGTCTGATATCTTTCACAAGCTTATCGAGACTTGACTCTCTGCTGTTATCATTTTTATTTCCATTTGTGTATCGTTGACTGTTTCGATTGCTATTTCGACCACGATTTGTGTTTCCTCGATTACCAGAAAAGTTCTCGTTTCTCGGGAATTTAAAGGGTTCAACTTTGATTTCTTGGTTGCTTCTGCGGTTTTCTTGATTCACTGGATCGGCTGCACGCCTCACCCGCTCATTTGATGAATCATCTTGTTCATCGTCAATGAAAAGATCTGCATTTGAGTTTATGAGTGGATACGAACGTCTCTGACGACCCAATTTCGGTTGACCACATCCAACAAAAACTCTTTTGCTGATGTCATGACCAGATTCCTGAGTTAATTAATCATTAGCATCATTTAATAAATACATTTTTCAATTAATCTTACCTGGAAGTTCATGATAGCTTCAGAAATTTTTATGTTGATCGGCTCGACAACCATAACAATGTTAAATGGTCCAAGAAGGCGATCGGAAACTTTCTCCATTTGTGCAACAAAAAGATCCCATTCTGAATCAAGCTCGACATATTGTTGGAGACAAGTTTTCATCACATTTTCACAATATTGTTTGCAGGGCTTCTCAGGATATCCCATACAAGCACCACAAGTTGACATTTTAGTTAATGCAGCTGTGCAATCAGCCAGTGGACGAATCGACATCATACTTTTCGCAACATCAGCAGCAGCACTTAAAGCTTGCACAAATGTTCGAGTTGCTACAAAAGATCTTTTCACTTGAACTGAAAGCTTATCAGGAACATCTCCGAATGGCTTTAATTCTTTCATGTATTCGCTAACGCAATTCAGGTACCTGAAAATTAAAGAAATCACCGATTAGCATGTTGTTTGTTCCTCAATTCATCATTCATCCTTTTTTCTTTTCTTTTCATTCATTTACGCCAAAGTGATTTCATCTTTCTTTTCCATTAATTCAACATTAACTTCCAAATCCTCTCCATAACGAAACGTTTAATCAATAACAAATCCCAAAAAAAAACACAAAAAGAAAAATTGAACACAGAAATTCCATTCGCATGAATAATCAGGCAGAAAAGGCTGGTGACTTCGTTTCACAAGATTTATGGCGATTTTATTCAATCGATATTTAGTCACGCCGTCAAAACGCGAAGAGAGAAATACTTGTAAAGAATCGAGAATATTTCAAGCGAGATCTGAGGCAATTGGAAGAAAGAAAGACGAAGGCGAAGACGAAAAACGTTTACGAGTTTCGAGATAACGAGAAACTTTTGCGTTTTGCAGTATCGAAGTCAGGAGAATGAACATCCGCTAGCGAAATTCTTTATATTTTACTGATCATTTGTGACTGAACGATGGAGAAAAAGTAAATTAAAATAAAGCAAAACTAATTTGAGCGTTTGGTCGTTTATGCCTTTTATCGTCGTTTTATGCAAAACAGAAAAAATAAAATTTCAAAATTGCAACAAAGAAAACGAAAAGTTTTCTTGAATTCTTCGACTGATTTGCTGACATCAAATCTTCGTTATTTAAAAAATGACTTCTGATTTCAATTTCAAATAAATAATTCACTGACTCATGTGAGCTTCCAAAGAAGTGAAGCAATTCGAAGTTTTGTTATCAAATTGACTACTGTCAAATGAAAGTTTACGATAAGAAGCGCAGAACGATATGTAGCGCCTTTTATCAGTTGACGACATTTCCTTTCCTTGTTCACATTAAAGGTGATCGATAAAGATTTAACACATCCATGCACAGATGATACATGTCAGTTGATAAACAGCTCATTTAACAATTAATTACGATTCTTTCAATAACATTCATTTCTTCTTGAAATGTCTGAAGATTGATTTGATTTAAAAATAAACTTTCAAGTTGTTACTTACTCGTCATTGAAGTGATAATGACTGTTGATTACAGTGAACATTTTTTGATAAAGTTGATTGAAGAACTTGTCCATCATGTCAGTGAGATCGAGTTTACCACGAAGAAAGTAACCTTCAAGCTTCACAAACAGCTCACTGAAGACATAAGAGTTCTGCTCATAAATCACACCATAAGTTTGCTTGAACATTTGATGAAAGCCATCTCTTGATTGTGCAAGAAGAGATTTGAAGAGTTCTGCAATGAAAAGTAATAAAATGTTAATTAATAGAACTAATTTTGGTGACACAAATGCTGATTACAATCAAAACTCATTTTCCACGTATTTTCTTCTTTTTCTACTACAACGAATTAAATTTCCATAACAAATATGAAGCATGGCGATAAAAACGACTCCAGAACTGTGGGAGAGTTGTAGAAATAATTATGAGATGAAACTTGAGTCGGTTGACGCCAATTGATTGTCAGAATGAGAACATGTTGCAGAACGTTTCATAAAACAAACGTCAACTTAAGATTTTAAAATTGAGAAAATATTAAACAGCATCCGATTCGCGCTCTGCCCCAAATACGGTGAATTAAACAGAAATAAAGAGCATGAGCTCAATATCAGAAACAATATCACGTATCACTTTGTATTTTATAAACATAATCATCGTAACATCGACACAAGCAAAGTATCGTTGATGTAGTCACGAATGATGGTGAAATTAATCAGAATATATTTGATTTCAATAAAATTGTCGACGTTGTGTGCAGTTTTATGTCTCAGCACACCGACTTTATTATCTCAGTTCGTTGAAATCGTAAACAAAAACCATTCCTGATATTACGACACCCATGTTGGAGACAACAAGTGGTTCCAACTTTAAAAATTAAGTAAACAACACTTCGTGTGTGGTTTAAGTTGCTTAAAGCTCTTTTCTTTCTCTCTTTCTCACTTTTTAAATTAAAATGAACCGCAATAAGCAATTTTTCTTCCTTTCTTATTCAATTTGAAAATTTACTTATCGTCATTTAATTGATTCGCTTGCCGCATGCCACCGCATTCCAATGAGAAGGCAATAAAAATAAAAGAAATTAAATTCTTCTTTTTTCTTATTTGTGAGAAATTGAATTGAATGGTGGAATAAAAACCGCCAATTACAAACATTTAATTTCTCACCCTCCTCAAGTTCAATTTTATTGAAATATTTTGGAAACAACATAATCTTGAAAGAATCAATTAGACGGCAATTAGTTTTCTTCTTTTTAAGATTTAATCTCACCAGCTCGAGCGTCAGAAGAGCGTTCAATCAACTCAATTCGTTTCGCAAATATAAGCAAAAGCGTGATCGACTGGCAGAAGTCAAACAGAAGAAAAAAAATGGTATGAAAAAGAACGTCCATTAGTTTTGCTAATTTTAGATTACTATCGTCATTCTGAATGATGATCTGATAACCAAAACTTAACAAATCGATTTAGCATTTCATTTCATTAACAATAACGCACCAGGGGATATTTATAAGCGAATAAGCGACCAGCAAAAAATTGTTTAATATAATGAAATTTTATATTGCTTTAGATCGTCCTTGCGACCGACTCAAAAGATTTATGAGAATCGTTGCGAACGCACGAGCATAAAAATGATTCTTTTCGGTCTTCTGTGATCTTCGTTTTTCCTTCACCGATTGCCGGACCTCACCCATTTGTTTCTGTTTCTGATATCAACAACGTTACAATTTGAATAATTTATCAACTTTTATGAGCGACAAAAGTTCAGATCAGGAACATTAAAAATCAAGGCGCCAGCGCGAAGATGAAACTTTGCTTATCTGTTTATGATAATTCTTTTTCTTAAAAATGCTTTTTCACTCTGATTGGAAGATGGAAGGATTGGAAAAGCTTTCAATTTATTTCCAAGCAACAATGATAATTGAGTCATTTTCGATGCACATAAAAATCAAACCACGTTGTGATGTAATGACTTTGATAATTCTTATCAATTAAAATTAATTGATGAGCGTGTGTGTGTTTAATTTTAAATTTATTCACTTCAAAGGGTTTCAATAGTAGCGCGAACTCAAAAGTCTTTTTTAATTTACACCCAGAGGATGTCTGATGTGTGTGCCACATGCTGAATGTATTTAAACTCAATATTTGCTGAGTGCTGTCGTGGAAGTTGACAAGTATGCGGGCTGAATCGTAAAATTATTGACTGTTGTTCTGAATGAATTGTAAGAATACCACAAAATGTAATTACAAGAACAGCACTTGTAAGATTATGCGGGATTAATGTGCTTCCTTTAAATAACATTATTTTTAAGTCAGCAGCTTAAATAAGTCCTTAAGGAATATAAAATGAGGCTGTAAAAGTTTCTTTTTTCATACTTTTATGTTTCTAAAGCGCGATGTAAATCAATTGATTAACTGGATTTTAATTACAACTTGTATGTTGCAAAAAATTGATTACAGCTCCGAGCGATGAATGAGGCTGAAACAAGACTTGGAACGATGTCATTTAAACAGGTAATTAAACAA